GATGTAGTAAATCAAGAGAGAAATTCTGCCAATTTTAGGATCCCGGTCATCAATCACTCGACCCGAGGCTAGATTAGGCAGGCAGGTCTTTCTTTTTTATTATTAATGGCAGGCCACGGGATTACATGAAAGCGCTTTGCGCGTAAACCACAGGCAAACCCCGTGATAGATTTAACCCGTGATAGAACTCTGATCCAGCACTGACCGTAGTTTCGTCCTCATGGAGCACTTGGTCGTATTCGGACATGGCAACGCAGAAGATTATAGCCGTTACATCCTCGAAACAATGAATCCATTTTTTCCGTTCTGATCGCTGACCACCCACATCGAATAACCTGAAACGATGGAATTTCGAAGTCTTTCGGACAACTATCACAAAAAAAAACGATTTTGACAGTTGGAGAGCAATCAATAAAAGCACTAGATCTCCTCGCTGCAAGCCAGTATGGCAAAAACTAGCGCAGGAGCTAGGTGCTAAATCAGTTGGGGGGGGGAGGGGGAGGAAGGAAGAAGGGGGGACAGACCACGCGGCGGCACGCGCGATGCGCTATTCGTCTGCAACTCTGAGGCTTACTCAGTCACAGGGGCCGTTACTATTTCGCCGCACCGTGGCAGTTTCGAAATACAATAGCACCGTAAACTAAGCTTTGGAGGGAAAGGTGGACAAGCGCCACGTCACCGCGCGGTCCCCCCCCCCCTAACTAAGGTAACACCGGAGCTATAGCTGAAAAGTACTAGGGTACGCAGGTACTTCTTACAGAATCATTAGAGCCTGAGATTTGTGACGTCCAAAGAAATCGATTAGCCGCGTTTACAGTTAGAGACATAAACTTGCTCTGCGTCTCCTGCAGCAAAATTGCCGTCTGGTTTCTGACCGCATGCTAGCGGGTAAACAACCGACTGTATCCACCAGAGCCAAAGACGAGGACATTTGCAAAAAAACCCTTTCCAGCTAAGTCGCCTCTCTCCCCTTTTACTCTACCCGACTCGCCTCTTTGTGGCCTACCTCCACCACTCTACTTCGTTGAAAACAGTTCTAATCGGGAAAGGAGGGGAAAGTGGCGAAAGAGAATGGGGGTTATAGAGGTTTCCGATGCTGAAAACCGCAAAAGTTCAAAAGAATTTCTGAACCACCTCCCGAAACAGTCAGTCAGAAAATCCTTTCATTCGGTCCGTTCGAGAATACAACCCATATCTTAACCCTCCAACACGACTCCAACCCCCACAGGCAAATCCCTAACGGACGTTTAACCCTGACAACCAGCCTCGTTTATACTCTGTTGCGGGGAAAGGAATTTGAAGATTTGCGGGAAAAC